GTTAGAATAGCAAAGTTCAGAATAATTTACGATGGTTTATGTTTACTGCGCAATACAGTTCTACCATGCAGCATAGCCAATTGTCAAAGTCAGATGGTTTTCTCAAGGTCACATAACAGAAGCAGTAGAGCAGGGATTTAAGTGGAGAAAGTCAGATGCAGCTCTCACATTCTGGCTGGGTTGGCATCAGCATTGAGCTAGACAGACCTTTGTAAACGAAAGGTCACGCGAGAACCCTCCAAACCTTTCGGACTACATTTCCCAGCGTCCCCAGCGGGCGCGGTCTCTTCCCTAAAATGCTCCCTGGCGTCTTTTCGAGTTTCCCGTGAGCCATCTCGGCCCCGCACCGCCCCCGTGCGGACTCCACTTCCCGGCAGCCCCCGCGGGGGCCCGCCAGGCGGGAGGGGCGGTGGGCAGCCCGGGCCGGGAGGCCGCCGCCTCCGCGATGCCGCTGCTGGTCGAGGGGCAGCGAGTGCGGCTGCCGCAGCCCGCCGGGGACCTCGTCCGTGCCCATCCGACTCTGGAGGAAAGAGCCAGACTTCTCAGAGGTCAGTCTGTTCAACAAGTGGGACCCCAGGGCCTTCTGTATGTTCAGCAGAGAGAGTTTGCAGTGACCTCCCCAAAGGATGGCTCCATCTCCATTCTGGGTTCTGATGATGCCACCACTTGTCACATTGTGGTCCTGAGGCACACAGGTAATGGGGCGACCTGCTTGACACACTGTGATGGATCCGACACCAAAGCCGAGGTCCCCTTGATCATCAACTCCATAAAATCCTTTTCTGAGCCCACAAAATGCGGCAGGATCGAAGTGCACCTTGTGGGCGGTTTCAGTGATGATAGGCAGTTGTCACAAAAACTCACTCAGCAACTTCTCACATGTTTCCTCTGGGCTCGAGGCTGAGGTGTCTGTCTCAGCAGTTGGTTTTCTGCAAGGTGAATTTGACAGACAGGAAGACGATATCCACTTAGTGACATTATGTGTGACAGAATTAAATGACCGGGAAGAAAATGAAAGCCATTTTCCAATAATTTACGGCATTGCTGTCAACATAAAAACTGCAGAGATTTACAGAGCCTCCTTCCAAGACCGAGGACCGGAGGAGCTGCGTGCTGCCCGTGCTCTGACAGGAGGACCAATGATCAGCATTTATGATGCAGAGACAGAGCAACTCCGCCTAGGACCGTACTCCTGGATGCCTTTTCCACATGTGGATTTCTGGTTGCAGCAAGATGACAAGCAAATACTAGAGAACCTTTCCACTTCACCTCTGGCCGAGCCCCCTCACTTCGTAGAACACATCAGATCCACCTTGCGGTTCTTAAAAAAATACCCACACCCAACTAATGCACTGTTTCCTGAAAATAAAGCTCTACTCTACAAAAAAAAATGAAGATGGCTTACGGGAAAAGAGCTCCTCTTCATGAAGTGAAAGCCAAGAATTACCAAAGAAAGCAACTTTTTGTCCTGACAGAGACCCAGGCTGGGGGCTGGAGGAATGTGGGTTTGGAATCTACGCCTGGTGTGTGATAGATCTCCTTACTTGGGGTCTTTCAAGTGACTTTGAGAATAAAATAATATTTTGGCAAAGGCAAAAAAAAAAACAAAAAAAAGGATCGAATGATAACTATTTCACCCGCCTTCCCACTCATTCCCTAGCCATCCTGTTCTAGACCACTCTACAATAGCACATTTAATGATTAATATTGATGCACTGTAAGGCTATACAACAAGGAATTACTCTGGGGCCCTGTTGTTGGGCACCTACACTCATTGCCATCAAGATTATAATTTTTTTAAGGTGAAAGTAAAAGTGAATTTATTATTTTTTTAAAAAAACAACAACACAAAAAAACTCTCGAAGAGCCTTCTCCCCAAAGTAGCAAGACTATAAATCTTTACAGAGGAGAATGCCCATTTTTTTTCCACTCTGAGCACACGGTGGATCTGAACCACCAACCTTAGCCTTGACAGAATAACATGTGCACTATACCACCAAAGCTATTGTTGAGAACCTAGGTTTCCCCTAATTGTAGCCACTATTTACTCTAAACAATTATTGTTGTTAATTGCCATTGAGTCAATTCATAGCGACCTCCTGAACAACACATCAGAACTTTGTCCTATCATGTGTCATTCTTTTTTTAAAAAATATTTTTTAAATTTTATTTTATTATTTTTGTGTGCATGTACCATCAAA